TTTCTCAACCAATCGACCCAATTCTTATTTCCCCTTATAGTAAAGTGGGGGCGATCTTTCATAAATTTAAATACCCAGCTATGTAGGTAGTCTCCTTCATACTGTAATTGCGAAACGCAACCATTCACCACCATCAAAACTTTTTTCTGGGAGGTCATATCGAAAAATCCCTTTCAATAGCACTAGACTATGTCCGTAATTGATTTTTCGGTCTCTTTATTTTTTTCTCTAAAACGCACCCCCGACGACGACGTAGGTATTCGTACATCACGATGAAAGTGAAGCACGAGCCGACCAAAATATGATCAATGGATCCATTCTCCAACAAACTATCATCTCAAAGCGGACCCTACATAAATATTAATACCCTATTTTACAGGGGTCAAGGCGTCCCCTACATGTAACATGGAACATATGGAAAATTCTGTAAAGATTGGTTGCATTTTTTATGTTCGCTCCCACTGGAAAATCCAATCCAATAAGGCCATCATTACATTTCAGAATCCCTGCCAGCCCAGAAAACGAAGCGATCAAGAAAATGGAATGATTTATGAGAACATGGTTTTACACAACACCAACTGGGTTTCGGCTCTCTATAAGCCCAAGACAGGTCGCTACTCCCGTTCATCAGGTAACCAGCCAGGTTACGACCCAGTACGATTTCTATTTATGAACCCATGACATCTTACATCGCATCTGGGCCCTGGTAATGTCAACATTACCAGACCATTTGAAATGATAATTTTATTTCTATTTATGAACCCCCTTACAACTCGCCATTAGATGCCACTACCTGTCCCAGTCAGTATCTCATTTGGGAAATAATTTCCTTGTACTTAACTCCGACCAGGAGTGCACTCAAATGAGACACTATTAATGACTTGGGACACCCTAATCTCGATGACTTCATTGCAAAAATGCAATAAAATACACCTACCTTTTTTAAACGAACTTGGGTAACTTTGAACCTTGATGTATCGTTTGAATCTGAAAAAATCAATTAGTGAACCAATCAAATAACTTGGATATTCCGATTGAACCAAAAAGATGAAGATCTGAAAATTGAATAAACTTAGATTAAATACATATATGACCCTAAAAGTATATAAGGGCTGGTAGTGGCATACAGGGAGAGGTAATGCAAATAATTTTATTGTCGTTTTCAGTGATTATGATAATGATGCATATTTTTATGAGCTAGTTCTGGTAATGTGTATTCCAACATTATCAGGGCAGCGTGATGATGGTAGAATGCCATGTATGAATCAAGTTTTGTTTACCATTTTTGTGACCTTTCGTGAAGCTAGTTTTGGTTAGTATCATTGTATGAGCCATGTGCCCTGGTAATGTGTATTTCAACATTATCAGGACAGCTTGATGATTGTATGCACTGTATGAATCAAGGTTTTTAAGAGATGCATATTAACTACGTGTTCTGACAATGGTGACTTTACGAGAGGTTAGATAGTTTTGAAGGTGGAATTATGTAGATTTGTATAAGAAAATATAGCTATCGCCAACGCAGTCCGTCGAAACATAAACATTGTTATCATCATAGATTATCCAATCATTTTCACGTCTATAATTAACAACATAATGTCCTGAGTTTAAGGAATTGCCCAAATGACTAACTATAAGTGTCAAAGCGTATACATTATCCGAGCCAGGTAACGTAAGAACATCTGATGCATACGACTTCTCCGTAATTTTTGTACCTTGATTTGTAAAAATTTTCAGATTAACCACTAACGTTCTTGGCGCCAATATCAGGTTAGATTTGAAATTAACCAATCCTGAGAACTTACAGTTCTCACAGAGATATTCCTGCTGCCCGGTGAAATGATTATTAACACACTCTTGTAAATTTTGCGTTGACCTTCCGATGGATAGGGAAGTACACGATTCATTTCTCGTTCCTTTACTTTTACAAGTGCACGTAACCTCAGTTTCTATAGTGGAAATATATTCCTCTAGAGATAAACCAGAGTTGCGTAAGTTCTGCAGGAGGTCAAGGAGAAATAGATGGGGGTCATCTTGCATTCCAATTGAGTATGATGGCATGCATTCAACTAACTCCAGCCTGGTGCTTCTAAGGTGGCTAAGTGAAACTGGGGTGACTAATGCCTGAAAGAATCCTATTAGACAACGAGATAGACGATCTTCATTACATTTCAGAAATGCTTGAATGGAAGGAGATTCATAGATTACGTGAAGAATTGTGTTAGCTCGCCCTGCGTAGCACGGTTGAAACAGAAAAATCGGCAGTAAATAAAATAAACCCTAGTAACGTTAGAAGTAGCTCACCCTGTCAAAATTATTTAGATAGAACTTTGCACTGAAGCTTTGGTGCAAAGTGCTACACTAGTGCACCTTAAGGTGCACAATGAGCCGACAAAATAGATCATAATTATTATATATTCTTGCACCTATGGTGCAATATAAACGGAGAAATGTAGCAAATGCTCAAATTAGTTGGACCACTTGTGCAACATTGAAAATTTTATGTCAAAATTGTATGATTATTTCTCCCGGATATTTTGCACTATTAGTGCGTTTTGCATCCAGTAGCCCCTATTATTTCCCATCATTTTGGGTTCGCAATTGTTAGATACCAATGGTGCTATTAACTTATTAAAGAATGGACTTGATCGATTTTTATTATATTCGTTAGTTATTCTGCACTTTTGGTGCATCTTGCATCGATTCCCCCAATTGTTTCACACCATTTTGGATAACCGATTGTTCGATACTAACGGTGCTACCTATTCCGAAATTGTAGTCATTTCTTGATCAATTTGCACAATTAATTCGCACCATTTGCGCCACGGCTTGTTCGATACCAATGGTGCTCCTCAGACCGGTAATAATGGAGCAGGGACTTATTAATTCGCATCAATTGATGCAAAAAACTCGTCAACAGACAGACGGACAGACGGACGGACGGACGGACAAGAGGAATTCAATAGCTCTCATGCTACGCAGGGGTGAGCTAATAAACCCTTGTAACGTTAGAAATAGCTCACCCTGTAATAATTAGTTGGATATAATTTTGTATCAAAGGTGCAAAATAAGCGGACAAAATAAATGCATAATTTTCATATAATTTTGCACTAATGGTACATAATAAACGGGAAATAAAAGAAAATCGATATAATGTTGCACCAATGGTGCAGCCGAAATGGTTAAAATTTTGACACGATTTCGAGGTTAAGATATGTCAGCCAAGGCTAACTAGAACTTTCAGTTAATCCTAATCATTGGTGCAGAATACATCGATTCCTCCAATTATTTCGCACCATTTTGCATTAACGATTTTTTGATACTAATTGTGCTACAAATTAGGGTTGCAATGGTCTTGAGACTTGTTAATTATCATCAATTGATGCAAAAAAACTCGTGAACACAGACAGACGGACGGACGGACGGCCAAGAGGAATTCAATAGCTCTCATGCTACGCAGGGTGAGCTAATAAGGTATACTCTAAGAAACCCGGTAACTAAGTAATTACCAGGCGGAGTATCTATGTGACTCTACCGCATGGTAATCAATTTATTATTGAGTGGTAGACATTTTGTTACCAAACCGGTAATAATCCCGGTCGCGAAATTTGAAAATATTACCAGTTGGTAACTAATTTTCTACCACTCAATAATAAATTAATTACCATGCGGTAGAGTCACATAGATACTCCGCCTTGTAATAACTTAGTTACCGGGTTTCTTAGAGTGTAGGAACTGATCGGACTACGGTTTTCCGTAATATCAGACAAAATTTCAATGTAGAGGGGAACTCTGCAGGAAAGATAGCATGCGTATGGGGGACAAGATGTTGACAAAATTTGACGCAAAAATATGTAGGGCAAAACTTAAGTACGCTGATAATGAGTAGACCGAGATTAACTTATACTACACAGCATACCTGATTGGGATCTACATAAGCACTTTGGTTAAATAAATAACCTTCAAAAATTTACAATATCGTTGATGTGATTCAATTTTAGTAAAATGATATTTTAAAAATATCAGGTAGCGACCGTGCAAATACTCTTAAAAATCCTGTAGAGTCCCACGTACCTACACTGGTATTTATTTGGCAGGATTAGTAGCAGGTTGTTTCTGAGCGGTAAATTTTTCGTTACCACAACATTACTAAACGGTAATGCCCGTTATTACCGGCTCCGGAAGAGTCATGTATGTACTCTGGTCAGTAATAATTTAATACAAGTTTTTTAAGAGTGTGCATACTGAAATTCGATCACCCTTTCTACACGGGACCCCAACGCACAAAAATAATCTGATCAAAACGAAATGATGAACAATTACCAAATTACATGCACATTTAATCATTTGATTTTGTAATTCCAATTGAGATTAACTGGAAAATACCAGTTATTTTAAACATCGATAAGGTTTGTAATGGTTCGAAAAGTAAAAGTACAAGTTAAACAATGTCATAGTTTACTAATAATAAATAGGGTTACTCACGTCTATATTCAACAACTTTTTAAAGAAAAACACGTGGAAGAACTGGAAAATCCCGAAAAGTAAAGAAATTCAAAGAATGAATTTCAAGAAATGTTGTAAATATTTCAAATTATGGAGAGCATCTCAATTTTTTTTTACATATGTAAAAAACGGTTAAAACCTTTTAGAACGGTTTAATACTTCAGACCCATCTCAGACTTGTTTAAATAATTTATCTAGCATTTACTCCAGAAATGTGTTTTTGGAATACGAGATAATATATTTTTGGGGTAAAAGGGGCAAGTTATCAAAATCGCGTATAAATTTTTACCAACAATGGCAAAAGTTCGGGCAAATATTTGCAAAAAATTTTCAGAATTTACATATTTTGAGATGAGTACGCCCCATGAACTGTGGCATCAGTCACATTTAATCTGATTGTCCATTTACACAAATACAGATATGCACCTGTCCCGTTTTAAGTCAAGTGTTACGCAGTCGTCATTCTACTCCTGAAGGGGACACATAATCAAAAATCAAATAAGAATAATCAAAATTTCTCAACTTTTTTGAAAATGTCGCAGAAATACAAATTTTTATATTTTCCCATGAAGGCTGTCGGAGAATCGATCCGGCTTTTGTTCCACTATTCCAACGTTGAATTTGAGGATGTCCGAGTTTCCAATGAGGAATGGGCCAAAATGAAATCAGGTAAGTTCACGACTTATTTCGTAGTATGACAAATTAATGAATTAAAAATTGCATCAAATTTGAAGGAAGTATTAAACATGACAAAAATTATGACTTGTTTACATAAAATGTGGTGTCACAGAGTATGTATCATGTTTTTATAATCCTTCAAACGTTAAAAAGGTTTGAACAAATATTAGTTTTCTCCATGTGACGAACCTAACGTGTTAAAAACGCTGGAACGAATTGAGAAAATCTTACATTGGCGCTCGCGCATTACATGTCTCACGACATTCTTTAAAGTTTGGCACGTAATTTTTTATAACTTAATCACAATTTACAATTAGCGAAATAAAAACAATTACAAAATACGAATTAAAATTAAAAGCTGGACTCACAGATCATCAGATTTTTTTTAACTTTTCAAAATTTGCAACCATTTGCAACTATTACGCATTTTCGTGGTACCGACTGAATTAACGATTTTTAAGAAATTTGTAAAAACTGAATAGTCACTAATTTCACCATTTTCATAATCAATTTCAGAAATGCCTTGGAACCTGTTGCCCGTTTTGGTGGTGGATGGGAAGCACCAACTTTCGCAGTGCTTGACCATTTTCCGCTATTTGGCGCGAGAGTTTGGACTCGTGGGGGCGGACGAGTTCGAAACCGCAAAGTGCAATGAGTACATTGACGCCATGGACGAAGTTCGTTTAGGTTCGTGTTGAAAGTAGGGCATTCAAATTCAGAAAATTTTGAAAAACCGGTTTCGATTTTTTCGGATTTTAAAATTTTCATGAAACCGGTTTTCAGTTTTCCCGAAACCCAGTTTTCGAAACTGGTTTTATTCCAAATTTTTAAAATTTTGTAAATATTATCTGGGAAAATTGATGGTACGTATAACAAACTTTACAAAGTTTATTATAATTTATATATTAATGCCTATTGCCTATAGGCATTAATTTGAAAATAAATATATGTCAGAATAATTAATTCTTACATGAAAAACAAGATATTTAGTGATCCCGAAACAACTTTGTTAAAAATCGAAAACTGATTTTTGAGTGTGATAAACAGTTTTTTTTGCAAAATATCGGTTTTCTGGTAATAGCATTTGCAACAGCAATGCCTTTTTTATTAATATTTAAAACCGATTTTCATGTAAATCGAAAACCTAACCGGTTTGGAAACCCTGGTTTTCGAATCTGTAAAATTTTTTCTTCCAGACGTATTGCAAATGTTTCGCGAGTCTGATCCCGCAAAAAAAGCTGCCATCAAGAAGAACGTAGTCGACAACACGTTCCCGAAGGCCTGGCCAAAGTTTAATGGGATCCTGAAAAGAAACGGGACTGGATTCTTGGTTGGCGAGGGGGTCACGTGTGCCGACATTTACGTCGCCTACATGGTCGACTTGCTCACCGGCTTTGTCGAATTTTCAACCATGTCCGACTATCCCGAGCTGGATGACCATCGAAAGAAAATTTGAAGTCTGCCAGGAATTAAGGAATGGATTGCGACAAGGCCTTACACAGCGTTTTGATAAACAGATAGATAAAAATATTAAATTTTTAAAAAAGAATAAATTATTTAAAAATGTTTGCAAAAATACATTTTTGTGTATTCATATTTTCATGATTCATTTTTTCAATGGAGAACTGGTTACCTAAAAATTAGTTAATAACTCAAAACTGTACAATTATGTATACAGGCGTAACAATAAGGCAGATTTTATAATTTTGCGACGTAATTTTGCGAAATGAAAAAATGGCCATTTGCTGAAGCCAGAAATTTTACCAAATCGCCTGATCAATAATATTTATTGTAGCAATTACACTTTCGACTAATTTTACTTCTAAACAATTCTCAGTGAAGTCACAGCCTTCATGAAAATCAGTTCCAAACAAACGTTGGATTTAAATCAAAATTTTTAAATTCATATACAATTTAACTTCTAAAATTTTTTAGAAATTTAATCTGAAATCAGGAAATTGGATTTTTTATTTGCAGTTTCTGAAGAACTATTTATTTCAGAAATTTAATTGTTTTCAAAACAATTGTCATTTACTTAGGATAAAATTATAAGAATCGACGTTTCTTAAAACTGCAATATTTTTGGCATGCATACAAATACATAAATGATTGTTAAATTATAAATTTACATATTGCATTTGGGAAAATTGTTATTTTATAGATGTAATTTATCCTAATTCATATCCTAATATTTCAACAAATTTCATAACATTTGTAATTTCGATTTGAAGTATTTTCAATGCCAGAGGTTAATCTATTTCTTCTATGAAAATGTCAATTTACATACAAAATTTTAAATGGACGTTACACTTTCACATTTCAATTTAATTAGCGATTTCAAGCACGTAAAATATTTGGGATTCGGTAAACAGTTTGATACATATAATTTTTTTAGTCTACAACAATTAAAAAGAAATTTAGTGTGGTTTAATTACGTAAAAATTGCTACATTTTCATTTCATAAGCGTTGTATGTAAAAATGTAAACACGAACTTATCCTCAGCACGTGGTGAGACTTTGCCATCCGCGAATACCAAACTCGCTCAGATTTCCATGTGTTGGATTTTTCAGTTTCGTCTTTATTTTGAAGAAATAATGTTCCTACTACAATTTTTTAATTAAATTGTGCATATTTTTCGAAATTTTGTGGTGTCAAGATTCTCAATAATATTTGGTGCAAGTGTAAACATGAAAGTTCAGGAACTCAAGATGATCTCGTAAGTTCGGACGATTGAAACTTCTTTACAAATTATTTTAGTTTCATTTCCTAACTAAATTTGAAATTATTGACAACCTTGTTCTAATTTTAATTGAAATTTAGCCACGATAACAGTCACCTTAAGAAGAGCAAGAGAGACACGGTCCAGAAGAAACGGTCGGATCCTGAGAGAATCGTTGTTGAAAGGAAAACTCGTTCTAATTTTATGCCCAAAATTGATCCTGAACTTTTAAATTTAACGAGGTAAATAATTACTAACAAGTTTCTCTAACATTAATTAATTGCTCCTTATGTCTTCTTGTGAAAAATATGGAATATTAGGCTATTTTAATATAGATCAAGGACCTCAACTATTTCTTAAGTGCAATCTAATTGGAACACATGTTTTATGATATATTGTATGTATGTGCTAAAATGTCGGGGACATTTTATTACAGGAATGTCGGTATGCGGTTATTGGAGGCTAGCATTCTTTTAGCTTTTAACCAAGCACTCAAGGGTGTTATAAATTCTGTTTTTAGATTTGTTTCCGCTGCCCTCGGTCAGCTTCACCAAATTATCCTTTTTGTATGAATGGAAACTCAATGTTATAAAAGCACATTGAAATGAACAAATAAATAATAGTTTGAATCTGTCTTTGAATAGAACAAGTTCACTTATTCAATTCTTCTTGACGGCTACACAAATTTTAAAACCCTTCTTAAAAGGGTACCAAATTAGAAGTGAAATGACAAAAATTTGACTAAATTTGAAATATTCGCAAGTATTAAAATTTGTTCCTTACAATTATCCACCTCACAAATTCCAAATATTCCTCCACCACATAAATTAGGACGACCCAAATTGGATTTCAAATTCCATCTAAAGACATTACCCAATTAAAAATAAAATAAAGTAACCCCTAAATAAATCAATGTTCCTCTTTTTCCAGTTCCAGCAGCAGCACCAGCAAATCGTCCCGTTCGACTTCTTCTTTGTACTCGTCCCCCTCTTGCAAACTGTGCCTGCTCGACAACCCCACGTCCGACCCGACCCCAATCCTGGGTCGCAGAAGGGTCGCCGCCGCCAAGAAAAAGGCCCGCGCCGCGACGAAAGGGCCGCTCTGGTTCGGCATGAAGGCCCCCGAAATGACGGAGGAGAGGAAGAACGACCTGGCGGCGATGAAGCTGCGGGGGGCGCTGGACACGAAGTCCTTCTACAAACGCAACTCCTCCCTCGCCACCCACCCCAAACACTTCCAAATCGGAAAAATCGTCGAGACCAAGGCCGACTTTTACAACTCGAGACTCACAAAGAAACAGAGGAAGGCGACCATTGCGGAAGAATTTATGGCAGAGCTGAACGGTTAGGTTTAATTTGCAGGGGAATTAATTGGTTGGTTGATTAATTAATTATCCATGTTTTAGTTAACTTTTGCTGGAGTGAGATTTTAAATCATTTAACTTCGAGTATTATTTAATAGAAAACTAAATTTTACTTTGCTGTACAGATTGTGAAGCGTTAAATATATGTAATTAATAAAGTGTTCATTGCGCCATATTAACAATTTTTGTAAATAAATAAATAACTCTGTTTAAACATTTTTACCCCACAATTCCCCAGTTTTACTTTTTATTCTCTTTAAACTTCAGAAAATTTCATCCATTTATAAAATTAGTTTGGAAACTTGGTCGATTTGGGTGCCATCATATGCACTTACAGTAGTTAATTATGTCGGACGTCTTTTAATGTCTTCGTGATCTGTAGAATTATTAATTAGGGCGAAGGATTCAACTATGAATAGGATCAGTTAATTCAATTTCATTTTTAATTTGCTGGACTTTTTCATGGGACTTGGAATTGTGATGGACAAAAAATTTGGCTTGTTTTTCTGCTCTCTGTCTAACAAGGGACACTCACGACCTGTCGTCTGAGTCCAGGGTACCCACTATGTTTTTTAGAATCTACTAGGACCCCAGATGAAGGGTTCATTCATATTTCCGTGTAAAACTCATATTTGGCGCCGTGCCGTGGCGCCAACTTCGCCAAATTTGATGGTTTTACATTTTAAAACCGCCATAACTTTTGAAATCCTGGACGGATTTTCAAAATTTTTGGCAAAAATCATGACAAGGAGTTCAACTTTCGTATTCTATGAAATTTTTTCCAAAATTATCGCTTTTAACTTTTCGCAAAATTTCGAAATTTTGGGTTCGTCGAAAAAATGCTAAAAATATCTCAAAAATTAAAATTTTTTTATTTTTATTTTTTTCTCTAAAATTTCGACTTTTGTGATCATTTTAAGCATAAAATTTTAAAAATCCGACATAAACTGCAAAAGTTATGAGGGTTTGAAATTGGTCGAAAATGCAAATTTTTAAGCTTAGCGCCACGCCATGGCGCCAAATATGAGTTTTACACGGAAATATGAAGGAATCCTTCATCAGGGGTCCTAGTAGATTCTAAAAAACATAGTGGGTACCCTGGACTCAAACGACAGGTCGTGAGTGTCCCTTGTAAGATTTATTCAATATTTTTATTATTACTTACGGAGCTAATTTTTTACCGGAATCTCGGTGATGAAGGGCCTTCCACAGGGCATGTTCAACACAACATGCTCAACTTCTGACAACTAACATAGAATAAGGCTAAGTTTCAGAACGCGTCAATGGCTGACGGTATTTCCACATTGGGATCACAGGCGCCTGGATTACTAAATTCTGCTCAAACACAAAATTCAGAATTAGTTGTGAGTTCGAATCCCGGCATTATTTGCAAAAACGCACAATCCCAGACAGAGACCACTCAACCAACAAGCCAATTTGGTTGAAAATGGGTGGGGTTTAACTTGTATGTATACCATATGGAGCAAGTAAAAAATATGGACGCGTTATCTTGTCCTATGATTCTGACTAATATGGTATTCTAATTTATTTTCCAACTTCTGCCAAATTTGCAAAACATTCAGAAAACTTTGTAAATCAATGTGGAATGACGTTGCGGATTGTTTTGCATTTTTAATTCATCGTTGCGGCATCGACCATGCCCATTTTTAACAGATTTATTCACCGGTTAGGTCAAGTATGAAAATTGTTCGCTGATTTTTGTCATGTATAAAATTCCAGACCAGTTTTAAATTTTAAAGGGATGTTTTTTCCACTTCATCTAATTATGCTTTTCAACCAGTAATTTGCAAATTTTTAAATGTGGCGTCTAATTCTCAGATAAAAAATAATGAGAAAATGATAAATACAAATTTTGAATAGTTGTATGGACAACTTGGGCAAAAATTTGGCTTGTTTTTTGCTCTCTGTCTGGGATGTGTTTCTATATTTTTCTTATTACTTACGCTATTTACCGGAATCTCGGTTCGTCGGACCATAGGTCCATTAGACCATTGGTCTGTCTACGGGTGTGAGGCCCATTGGTCGTGAGAGGGCGTGACTCCTCGCTTGTGTATTCCATAAGGTATTCCCAAATTTGGGTCGTTAAGAGGTTGAAGACATTGTCTCATCTGCGCAAACACCAAAGTCAGAATTAGTTGTGAGTTCGAATCCCTCCAACAATTTGCAAAAACGCACAATCTCAGACAGAGACCACTCAACCAACAAGCCAGGGTTGAAATTGAATGAAATATAACTTTTACTTATCATTTGTGGAAGCTAAAAATATTGACGAATTATGTATACCTTATTCCATCTTTCTGACTAATGCTATTCGAATTTATTTTCAAACTTTTGCCAAATTTGCAACATTCGGAAAATTTGTAATTTCGGAGTTTTTTTTTATCGAATATCCACCTTTTTAGCAGATTTGTTCACCAGATCGGTCAAGTATGAAAATTATGCGCTGATTTGTTGCAGCAGAGGGAAAATGGTGGTGGTGAGCGCGGGGGCGACCTGGCGGGTCACGTGGTGGTTGGCGAGGTGGGTGTGGTTGCGCATTACACACGGTCTTATCGCGACATTGCCCTGGAAATTGTACAGTTTAGTTTACGATACAATCCGCCCTCCCGGGTAAAGGGGTATGGTTGACAAAGGTGAAAAATAACAAATATAACTTTTAATGCACAAATTCAAGACCAATTTTAAGGATTTATCTTTCCCAATATCTAATTAGTCCTTTCAACCTGTAATTTCCAAATTTTTATACGTGGCGTCTAATTCTCGCATAAAAATGTAATGAGGCAATTCACCCTGTCATTGGCAGCTTGTAAGTTCGGAAACTTCATGAAACTTGATCAACTTGGACGTGAATTTGTTTTGCTGATCTGTGGAATTACAAATACGTAGAGGGATTAACATTATTATAACATTACATAACACCAGTTCAGTTCAAAAATTTCATGCTTGATTTGGTGTACATTTTCGTGGAACTTATTAGAATTATGAATTTGGGCAAAAAATCTGGCTTGTTTTTCTGCTCTCTGCCTGGGATTTTAAAAATACTTGTATTATTACCTACCTACGCTATTTATTTACCGGAATCTCGGTGATCAAGGGCCTTCCACAGGGTACGTACCGGTACGTTCAACACAATATGCTCAACTTTCTAGATTGCTCGTCAATCCGACAGACTTTCCACATTGGGATCAAGTCAAGGAGTGCCTGGGTCTGGTCTATTTCATTCTGTTAAAACTCCAAAGTCAGAATTAGTTGTGAGTTCGAATCCAAGCATTATTTGCAAAAGTGCACAATCCCAGACAGAGACCACTCGACCAACAAGCCAGGGTTAAAGTTGTCTGGAGTTTAACTCATATTTATCATTGATGCAAGCTAAAAAAATTTGCACGGGTTAGTTTTAAATTGGGCCAATAAATCAGTAATTACTTAATTAATTTAATTTTTAGAATATTTAAGCTGCAGGAAATCATGTTTCTGACTAATATGATACATAAATTTCGAGGTTTTGCCAAATTTGGAATATCCATAATTTAACGTTATGCTGGAAAGTTATGAAATCTTTATTGCAAAATCGGCATTTTTTGTTAAGCAAGTTTATCTGTAAAATTAATATTTGCTAAATATACAGCAATTTGAAACAACAGATCCTGAGTTCGCTGAATTATATTTTTGATATCAAAATTTCATAACTCTACGCCGGTAGTAAAATATATTAGAATTTGGAAAGTTGTTAAATTATGTCACGATTTGGTGGATAAGTATTCAATACAGATGTGATTTACATATTGAGCAAAGATTATGTTATTTGAAAACGAAATTAATCAAGTTCACTTTTTATTTCAAAAATTTATCGCTAAAATAAAATATTCGGTAAATACTAGAATATTCGAATTTAGTTTCTATTTCGCAATATTATTTCGCAAATTAAATATTTGCTAAATGAGTTGTGTCACGCGAGATAAAGAGCATACCTGAGTATGCTCTATCACAATTTGTTATCCCATCATCACACAATTATTATAAGAAAAATGATCATTGTTGGAAAAAATCGAACGAGTGGAAAAATCAGGAATACAGAAATCCTGGGAAATCAGAAAAAGAGAAAGAAATACGTTTTTCGTGAAGTTCTGTGAGAAGAAAATCAGATTTATTGCTTTCTTTATTATTGACAAGGAAAGACTTCGATTCAATTCAACCTTCTCCTCGTGAGCAGGGCCATACACCAAGATGGTCATTTTTTCGTTGTTTGGCGTAAGCTCAAAAAAGTTGTACAGAAATTCCAGGAAATACGGGAATGCAGGAATTGCTTAAATTGCAAATTGCATTGGTTGGCAGAAAATTTTACCTTCGTCGACCAATTACCACCATTCAGTAATAAATCATTACCAATGCGATAAGGCATCTTCCCACAAAATTTGCTTTACCACCATGATTACAAAAAAATCTGCATCACTTCTGCATGACCCTTGGTCCATTTGCCTCGACTACTTTGTGCTCACTCACGTGGAAGACAAGTAGGTGAAAATCACCAATTTTCCAATTTACACCTGCCCATCGAACAGACAGATGTGCTTTCCTCCTCCTCCAAATGACCCGATTTTATCCGTGGGGTTAAAAATAAGTGAAAGTGGGTGCAAATGACTATTATTCGATTCCACCATACGCACCACACCTATCGAGCGGACTTTAGTCTAAATTTAGTTCGTACAAATTGTCTGGGAAATTTTGCATGAATAATTTAATAATTAGTCGGATTGGTAAATTGATGTCAAATTCATTGTTCAACTTCAATACCAATATAGTTGATTAAAGACTTTGAAAATAATAATATAATGGTTAAATATGGGATGAATGTTTGGAAAATTATCTTTTTTTGGTAAAAGTCCAAAATAATATTTTTATGGTAACGGTAATAAGTCCAAAAAACTATTTGTTTAAGATAAGACTACTCCTCAAATTGATGGGTTAACTAAATTGGTAAATTAAGCAATTTTGTTGCATACTAATGGTGAAATAAATTATGTCAGCTTGGAGAAAATCCCTGCTCTTTTTATTATATAAACATTTCTGTAAAGTTTACAAAATGTGTGTACAGCAATCATCCACGTAAATTTTCTCAACGCTTGGTAAAAAATAGTTAAGAATGACTGAACAAAAAATTATTCACGGAACACTAATTAGGAGCAATTTTATGCGGGCGCGATTCACGACT